TTTATTTTTTGTTTCATTTCACAAGGAGACATCAAAGCAGGTCGTAATGATGATAAAACCAATGTAATGAATATGATGGAAAAATACCCAAAGTATAAAGAAATATACGAACGTAAATTAGTCCTTTGGGATGAATTTAGGAAGTCTTTTGACAGCCTTGAAAAAGTGCAGCAAGCAATAATGATCATTGATGTGGTGTTAGACGAATTAGAAGATGAACTACAGAACACAAAAAAAAGATTCTCTGAAGGTATGTAGATTTTTGAATCATTCAGGTTGAAATATTTGTATAGTGTGGGAATTGTTGAAAGGTTCTGGGGTGGATTACAGTTATAGCTATGAGAGTGAACTTAACTAGACTACACTTTTTAGCTATGCTGTCGACTTTGTCGAGTGGAACTTATCATATGAGTGATTGTCCGGCGTCCGTGTCAGTTTTTTACATTTTCAATTTCTTCTTGAAATTGTTTATTGCTTTGATACTTGGTGTATATTTTTATGTACCTTGGACAGACCTCTCTTAGATTTGTTCATTTCGTGATGATATCTTTAATTCTCTAATTTAGATGAATATTTTTGTCACTTTTGGTAAAAGTGATATTTTCGACTTCTCGTTAAAAACTGCAAGTCCGACCTCTCTCAGATTTGTTCATTTCAAGACGATATCTTCAATTCTCTAATTTGATGAATATTTTTGGTAAAAAGTGATATTTTCAACTTCTTGTTGAAAACTGCAAGTCTCATTGCTTTGATATTACTTATATAGGTACTACATGTGGACCTCTCACGGATTTATTCATTTTGTGATGATATCTGCAATTCTCTAATTTTGATGAATATTTTTGTCATTTTTGGTAAAAAGGGATATTTTCGACTTCTTGTTAAAAACCGCAAGTCTGATTGCTTTGATACTATAAATATTTTTCATTTTCTAATGATATCTTCAGTTGAAATGTGCATTGCTAACATCGGAATAATCTCGGTCGTCAGGCTGATTATTTGAGTCTAGGGATAAAACTGTAGCTGTAGTTGAATGAGCTTGAGCTGCATTCAGAATTCTTATCATTTTGGTGTGCTACTAAAGAAATCTTTTATTTTGGCTGGTAAAATTAAAGAAAATCAATATCATTGCCAGAGAAAATAGTAAAGTGATGCAAACATACACTCACACAAATTCATCCTGTCCACTGTTCCAAACATACATTTAGATCAGTGGAACAATAGACATGATTACAGGCTGCGATGGCAGTCATTTGCATCTGTAAAGTCTATTTAATAATCAATGAGTAACCTAAAAAGGCACAATTATACATATTTCACTATGGTTTATTTTACTGGGAATTGACACATATGTCTGTTGGTACTTATAGACTGACAAATGTCTATGTGTCTCCGTACAACAAATTTTAAACAGTGCATCAAATGCACATTTTCGACTTCTTCTTGAAAACAATCAACTGTAATGGTTTCATGCTCACTACAAATGTACCTTGGGTGGTTTTCTCTTGAAAATACTATTTTTGACTTCTTCCTCAAAATGGCGAGCTCGCTATATGCATTTGTTTTTTTCATCCATGCATATCAACTATTACAATATTTTTTCCATATTTTATTCATTATATCATCAACAGATAGTGATGACTACTGGCTGCTGGGATCCAACTTCACTGCTGCTGATGTATACGTAGCAGTTTTACTAAACCGCCTTCGATTTGTAGGGCTACATCATCACTTCGAGTCCAAGCCACTGATTACTGCATACTGGAAGAGATTGCAAAGTAGACCAAGTTTTCGAGTTGCCTGTCTTCCTAGTCTATACCCTTTATTATTTTATTTTATCGGCAATCAAATTAAAACATATGTTCCAGTTGTAATTGGGATAGGTGTCATTGCTGCTGCTGTCATCTATGGGAGAAAATACATGAAATGAAACCAAGTCGTGCAATATGTTGTTAATCCGGGGACTTTGTGGACTGGTGTTTCTAGGAAATGGTTAATAGCATATTTTGCAGCAAGAATTTTGCACCAATGTATTGGTTCTTAAAATTTACTTTTCACAGCACAATAACATATTTTGATAGCCACTAGAATTAATATATATGTCTGTACAGATGTAGAGAAATAAAAAAATATATTTGATTTATTCGCAAAAATTGTTGCTACATGGTCTACATTTTGACTGGATGTATGGAGTGTTTTGTATGACATGTAAAGTGCAAGATATTATAGGATGTGTTATATACACATACAGTACATTTGCACCATTATATTCCACTAAACTTTCACTCAAATCAGTGTTTGTTGAATAGGCAATTTGCATAATTATCAATTGTAGCATTTTTATTGTTTTCTTTGCATGCGTTTGCAAAATTACATTGGTATGTGATTGTCGTTTGTATCGATCGTTATCTGATAACTGCTTCTAATCATCTGTTTTCAGCTTGTTTATTGTGTATCATAACAGCTGGTTTTATTGTGTTGAACATAATCATAATTCAGTCATCTAACATAATTATTCGATGTGTTGAACATTTTTCAACTCTTGTCATTGCAGTTAATTTGTCTGTCTGTCTGTCTGTCAGACAGTCTGTGCGTGCGTGCGTGCGTGCGTGCGTGCGTGCGTGCGTGTCTATTCCACTAATATCTCAAGATATATTGGTTTTTGATGAAACAAATGCAGATTTTATTAGGTTTTACTTGAATCCATGCATATTAATTACCTAATTTGCATGATGATTAGCTAATTTTTAGCTGTTCCATAACTCTTCCACTGTCCACTGATATCTAAAGAGCCACTCATTGGATTTTCATGAAACTTGGTACATAGATGGTTTGAACTAATACACAGATTTGATTAGTTTGGGGTAAAACCTCTGAAACGCTATTTACGCCAAGTTAGGTGACCGTGGACGAAATCATTATTTGTCTCAAATCTATGGATGACCAAGGTAATATTCATATAACATTGGTTGATATGTTTCTAGCGAGCAAGATAGACAAAGGCCAAAGTCATATGACCACGATTGGCATATATTTCATCTAGGCAGATTGACCATGATCATAATCATTTTATATTTGATGTCATAAATTACGTTAAATTAATAAGATGAATCTTGCAGGTAATGTTGAGTTTTAGCTGAGTGCCTTGACAATAAAATACTAGTAGACAGTGTTCACATAGATTTTCTGTCAGCCATGACCTTCTTCCACATAAATTGATGAGCTACGGTTTTAGTGGGAATGTAATGTCACTACTGCGCATAATTAGTAAAGGTCATTTCTCAGACTGGTGCCAGGATACTGTATTCTTGTGTCCCCCAGCGGTCGTTACTGGGGCCTCTTTCGTTTATTTTATTTGTGGACGACTTACCGTTCGTGAGTTCGAACACGGTTCAAGCATGGACGTACATAGTTCAAGTAACCGTGGTTTTAACTCACAGTGCCGTCTACGAAACTGACGAAACTCAAATATTTAGATCAATAAAATCCACCCCCATCATCGTAGGTTTCAGGATGACATACACATGTTCAAATGGTGATAATTATCGTCATGTCATTCACAAATAAGAAGGCAGCAGTTCATTTTAATATTGCTGTATTTCAGACTTTCTTTCTCAATAGAGTGTCGCAAATAAAAATTAAGAATCTTGAAGTTCAGTTAACTTTAAATCTTAGTTTCACTGACTACATTCCATGTACCCAGACTAAAGCGCTCAGAGTGTTAGGTTTCATAAAATGAAACTGCTTTAAAAACTGCTTTATTCTCAACCGGGTGGAGACTATAAAAAAAAATTTAAAAAAAATTATTCATAGAATCTTTAAAAAACTAGTCCAACGTAAATTTATTGTTTTAAAATATCAAAAATACGTACAATAAAAGCAATGTCAGTTTTAGAATATCACTAACGCATTTGCGCATGCTCAGACTGAAATCTATTCCCCTGGTGGTTAATATTGGATATCACGTCCGATTCCAAATACGCTCAAGCGAAGCTCAAGTCATTCGTGTGGCGTATTTATATAACAGTGGAAGTTAATATGAATGAGTTAATGCTCTACTATCACCCACTTTCTTATTACTCTCAGAGGGTAGGTATATTATTGTTTTACTATCTGAGTACGTGGCGTCCAATACACATACTATCCCGATGGACTGTGTTAGGTGGAGGTTTCGGGGTTCGCATTGTTGTTCCATGGTTAGAGTTGAATACACTATTTGACCTTGCACTCTTGAACCATAGTCTGTTTTGATTGGTAACTTATCTGTTTATTAGATAGTTTGCGTCATTATACCACTCTTGGTCACGTGATCAGTTCTGTCTGCACGTTTATTAATGGAAAGACCACGCGAAAGTGTTGGTTTATATAATATAACGGGCGTCGGTGTTTGTATAGCTAATCACATGATTAACCTTGTTGTTTCAAGCACAGTCATACTATAAACTATACTTTCTATGTTTCAACATGAAGGTATAATGGTTTCAAGCAAGGTTGGTAATAGGAGCCATGTTTTAAGTATAACAGTCACACTTATGGTTATGTTCTTGTAAATGTCATAAGTAGGACTATCACACTTGAAACCGCACGGCTACAGGGTGTGATTAACGACTTACACGATCAATCAGACCAAAATCCAAACATTGCGTCGCCCATTCTCTCCAGTGGAAAAGACTTGATCAAAACGCTGAATTCATTGTATTGTCGCACATATCACGTGACGACAAATGTTTCTTGAAACGTCTACAAACAAAACTAAGTTCCACGTAGCGGAGTGGTTAGAGGTACTGACAACCAGTACGAAAGTCTTGATTTTAGCCCAGCTTGACCATTTATTTTCAATAATCTAGAAAGTACTCTTATTCACACATGTAATTCCAATCATTTACACCTTACCAATGTCAAATTGTGTGCGAATTACTAATTCACATGTGCACAAACCAAAACTGTTATCACTAATATGCATATGAAAAAACTGTTACCAGAACTAATCTCTATATGAAAACAATGTGGTGATTACTAGCCTGCATATGACACAAACTGTGGCTGATTACAAATCTACATACTAGAGACAAAAGAACAACTGTGAAGTTACAGAAATTATAACTTATACCACACTTGGTCACGTCATCCTTTGTTCTGACCATGGAGGTAATAAGAACATTTTACTTCCATGGTTCTGACCGTTTGTTTATTTCTGTAAACCGTTTGTTATTATGCAGATTGTAAATTGGTCAAACTTGTATTCCCATGCAAATATAATTTCGACAGTTGTAATAATATGCTTAGTGTAATTACTACAGATAACGGTATTGTTTCAGCTACATAACTGTAACATATTGGCCGGAGTTGACAGGGAGCCCCCCCCCCCCACTCAGGATCCATAGGGGGCCGCATGCGCGTTCCCATTTTCTCGAGAAAGAGGGTACTTTTTGACGATCTGTCTCGGGAACATTTTCCCGAGAAAATCGTAGAAAAGGGGGTATTTTTTGCTTGTTTTCCCGAGATTCTCAAAATAGGGGGTGTATTTCAAAACACTTCCGGAGATATACAAAAAAGGGGGGTTTAAAAGGAGTTCTAGACTGAAAAGTTCCCTAGATAGGGGGTGAAATTCATCGGAAAAGCCCGTGAAAGGGGGGGGGGGTAAATTTTCTTCTTTTCCCTAGATAGGGGGGGGGGTCAAAAAAATGAGGGAACAAGCATAGGCCCCCCTAAATATAGGGAGTGGGGGGGCCGGGACAGGGAGACAGAATTTTTACTATTGCAACTTACTCCTTACTTTCTAAACGAAGCATTTGTTTCTCTTGTTTTTATGTAAAACCATATTTATTAAAGTTAATGTTCCCACATGAGTTGTTGAACATACTAATTAATTTTTAATTTCATTCAGCTTCTTTCAGTCATAATTCAAGACCAATAAAAGGCAAACACATAGAGAATATAGTGCATTGTTGTTTTTTCGTGTAATATTCATGTGTAATTGGTATTTATGAAAATTATCATTAGTGTTCATATGAAATACAACTGATTGGTTTATGTCTTACAAATCAAGATTCTGAAAGAATACTTTAAATGTTCATTATAATATGTGGCAGTTGTGTGTTTAAACTGTAGGCTGTGTTAATGTTAGAAGAAAAAGGGCTGGAATACAAGAAAACAATTATAGACATAC